CGTGATTGTTGATACTCCTTTTGCCACTTTAGCACTCATAATGTCCTTTTTCTTGGCAAGTATAGTGCATATCGTTGACGTGGATTTGTTGTACTGCCTACAAAGTTCAACAACCCGTGCACCATTTTTATGCTTCTGAATGATCTCTTGCTTTTCCTTTATTGTCATCCTCACATGCGATATTGTCATCCTCACATGCGATTTCTTGCCTTGAACCATACCACTGACTTTCTTGGGACCCATTGCGATGTATATTATAACAAATTTTATGCCAAATAGTAAAATCTCCTAAAATAAATGGTAAATTCTTGTGAAGAATTCAGGCAGGATAGTCACTGGGCGTGAGGCACTGGCAAACTGAGCGGTGATCCCCATGCCACCATGCGCTAGTTCGGCCCGTATGCGTATCAACAAACTCGTATCCTGAGGCAAGCCTCGTATCCCGATACAAATTTTCCGAGCAAATCCTGCTCGTAACCCGTAAAACTCGTAATTAGGGGCGCTCGTAAGCCGAGGTACCACTGTACTTGGACTGTCTTTTCTTTGCATTTTCCGTCTTCCTTCCTCTCTCCTACACATTGTTGTGTATCTAGGTAGGTACATATTGGCTATTCTCATGCTTGTGTTAGGTTGGGATCTGTTCGTGTTCAGTTTTCTGTTGTAGAACAGGCCCAGTGTTCTGATATAGCTTTGAGTTCTTTCTCTTCTCCTTCACTGTCACTACCAGCTTCTGTGTTGCAATGTCTGCTGGTGTATGTAGCTCCCGATCATCCACTCCTGCCCCTACTGTTCATTTTCATTGGGGCAGGGGGCATTTGGCTTCTGGCCCTGGCTACGGTTTTTCTGTGTTCCTTTTCGGACTACTTTTTTGTATTAAGTGCAGTACATATCTTTCGTAGTTCTCCTTCCTTCCTCAGCAACACGTGCTTTGTTCTGCCCTATAGGGACTGGTGGTGCCGCTCCTGCGGGTTGCGGTGTCTCTGTTTTTCACTTCTCTTTTAGAGTTTCAGCTCGTGGTGCTCGTTTCCTTGTTGGCCTCTGCCTGGGCCTGGCTCTTAAGTTTTTCACTGCCCCTTTTTGTTCTTGCTGTTTGCGGTTCGACAGTTTCTGCATGCGGCAGCTTCTCGTTGTCAGTTATCGGGCTTCTTGTTCCTTCACGGGTCCCAGGGGGAGGGTGCCTCCAGGATAGGGCGTTTTTGCTCGTCCAGGTTGGTTCTTTCCCGTCTCGCCGGGTTTGGGTTCCTGGTTCCCTGGCGGACGTTCTTGTTGTTTTTTTGACAGTCTTGGTTCCGGCGCGGCTTGCTCGGTGTCAGCACCAAGGGGTTTCCGATGGCTCTGCCTCTTTTACATTGTCGGTCCGCTCCATGACAGGGCTGGTTCGGTCTTCTAGTCTGGTTCTTTTGACTGGAGTCTCTCACCATCTGTTTGGTGTTCAGGTGGCTTCTTAACTGTGTCCCACCTGTGTGCTTCGCCTTGGCAGTGGTATGGGGTTTTCTGCCGGTCCTTCCTTTTCCTTTTGTCTCTTCGTAGGTGTACTGTGCTCTTTACTGTCGTGGTGGGGTCCGGGCCATCATCTGGCCGCATACCGTCGCCCTGTCTAGTGCGGCACTGGCGGAGCCGCTTCAGATTGCTCCCGTTTTGTTGTTCCTTCTGCGCTGTTCACGTGTTGTCTCGGGCATGTTGTTGTCTCCTCTCCTCGGTTTGTTGTGGCCCCTTCGGTTCCGGTTTTTGTCAGTGCTTTCTACTTCTTTGGGTTTTGGTGTTCGGTTTGTTCGTTTGCGGCCAGTATCTTCTTTTCTGGTGGGGTTGAGACAGCTCTTTTCTGGAGGGGTCACTGGGGTTGTTGTTGCTTGATTGGTTGGCTGGGGTGCTTCTTGTGTCTGGTTGCGGCTCTCCGCCGTTCTGTGCGCGCCACGGTCTCTGTGGCCGGGGCTGCGCTTTGGGTTGATCCGGTTTCCCCTTCTTCCCTGTTCTCGGGTTCGGGTCTCTCAGGTCGTCCGCTGGGTCGTTCTGTCTAGCCAGCCTGTGGTCTCTCCCCGTGCCCTTGACGTTCGTAGGCTTGCTGTGCTTGCTGACATCTTGGGTGGCACATTTTGAGCTGACATTCGGGCACAGGTTTGTTTTGGCGGTCGCACTGGGTCCTGGCTGCGCGCTCCCTCGTCTATGTTCCTGAGCCTCGTCGGGCCCGTGTTGCCTTGGGTTGGCTGTTGCAGCCTGTTGTCTCGACTTTGTGCTGTGGTGTGAGGCTCCCCGGCAACCCCTCCTCCCTTCGGTTGGCGTTTTTTCGCGTTTTTTATATCCAGCCTCAGAACTGGGGTGTGGATCACTGGCGCGAGGGTCTGGTGCTCCCTCTTCCCACTTCCGGGGAGCTGCGCAGACATGCGGTGTGGCTCGTGTGATCTCATGCTTGTTTGCTCATTTTTCTTTTGGGGAGTTCTGTCCACTTGTATGAGGATTTTCATTGTTAACCAGAATAGGGGATTGTTTTGTGGCGCTTACCTTTCTGAGTGCCTGTCCCGGTCGATGGCAGATATAGAATGCTCCAAATCACATGTGCATTTCTTTGAGCCATTGCTCCTCGTGCTTCTGTGAGGGGCAGGTTCTGGCTCGTGGTCCCTGGTAGGCCTAGAACTCCACCCACATTGACTGATGCAAAATAGTTAGGGTATCCATATCAGCCATGAATAGCTCCGGGGAGCCTCCAGGACTCATCCCGAAAATGGCGTTTCATTACATTCAACGCTGGTTTTTTTCACATAGGCACTGGTTAGTTGCGAGAATGGATGCTGAAGGCTCCTTCTTTATCCCTGGAATTATGTTTGGAGATGTAGTATGGGTCTGTCTTGGACCCCAGTACAGTCAAAAGCGTCGGAACCTTCATTTCGCATTTGGGGGGGTTGAATTAGTTGTTTTAACCCTTAAACTGCGCAACGCGCCTGCAGGCTCACGTCTGGTTTGCGCAATGCGCCTCCGGGTATTTGTATTTTTCACGTTCCATTCAAAACTCCCGCCGCTACGTGGGGTTCACATCAGCTTCCTCAGGGCTCTTATAAACAGACGCCATCTTTAAAAAAAATCGTGGTCCACATTCCCGGGTGTGGGAGCCTCAGTAGTGTGTGAGCAACCAAGGCTGGCGCTCGCAGCATGAGCGCACAGCACTGCTGTTCAGCATGTGACCACAGCATCGCCTAATAATGTCAAAATATATATATAACTTGTATTATTTAGCTATGATAGTGTTATATTAGAGCCTGAGTGTGATAATGACTGGGTACAATGTTCAAATATCAGTGATTCAATGCTGTTCACGATGTTCACAGCGCTAGCCACAGCATTATTTCGTTCATCTAGGAATCTTCAAATGATTTCTTAGGTTCCTTTTCAAAATAAACGTGTGGTCAGTTATTCATTTACAGGAATTAGTGACCAGGATTGTGATAATAGCAGGAATGTGGTTATAATTGTGCGTAGTATTGTGGAAGGAGGAATTTTGATGAGAGAGAGAGGGCGAGAATTGAGGTAGCCTCATTGTGTGTGTGGCTGCCACTCTTGTTTTGCTCACCATACTAGCTTAGTGGTTCGCTATGGGCAACACATATCTACATGGGTATATATAGTGTGTGTATATAGTGTAAGAACAGCAACAGGAGAATGTTGAGAGGAGCTATTTTGGTGAGGAAGGTGACGTAATCGTATCGTCGTCTGCTGTGTGATTTTTCATGCAGTGTATGGTGGCCACTGTACTGTTTGGACACAATACCGGCTTACTTGCATAGTTTTGGTAAATAAAACATGTAGATAGCTATATAGAACATGTGTAATAAGAACTATAACAATATGGTGGGAGGAGCAATGTTGGCGAGTAAGATGTTGGAGTGAGGGAGACAGGCTGGGTGTGGCTGCTCTCACTCGAGGTGTTCTGAATGTGTTCATTGCCAAATGCTCCTATTGGCCCATACGAGGCAGCTGCTATTGGCCCATACGAGGCAGCTGCTATTGGCCCATACGAGGCAGCTGCTATTGGCCCATACGAGGCAGCTGCTATTGGCCCATACGAGGCAGCTGCTATTGGCCCATACGAGGCAGCTGCTATTGGCCCATACGAGGTAGCTGCTATTGGCCCATACGAGGCAGCTGCTATTGGCCCATACGAGGCAGCTGCTATTGGCCCATACGAAGCAGCTGCAACGCGGTGTTCTGAATGTGTTGATGGTGAATGTATATAGTGTGTAAATAGATTGTATATATACACAAATTAGCATGATACATAGTAAATATGTGCTGCATATGTGTACACAAGTTTCATGCACGTAACACAGTGTCTACGGACAGTACGGATGTTGTACTGCGATATTATAGTGTACGTGTTCATTATACATTGGATTGGCACATAAAAACAATGAAAATGTATTTGGAAAGGTGCGCAAAAAATGAACGAAAATATATTCGCGGCAACTCGCGTGCCCCGCCCCGAGCGCCCCACCGCCCCCGAGAGCTTACGGCACGGGCGCACGGGGAATGATGACGTCACGCCCCAACTTACGGACCCCATAGCAGCCAAACTAAGTACAATTTCGACTTTTTTTTTTACATACCCATACTGAGGGAAGGGTTTTTGACACTTTAAAAAGAAAAAATAATTTTTTCCAGAGAATTTATTTCCTGCGCACTGCGGGGGTGTCACATTTGGAGGCAACGCAGTTAAGGGGTTAAGCCCTGCTATTGTGTCTTATTCTTTGCATGAAAACTTTAAATTTTATCATATAGGTGCTGTGTGACAATACTTGTATCATTATTGCACTCTCATGAGAACCCGAAACTCTCTTTTGTCAACTTGTTTTGCCATTACATTTATAATATAGGTGCTGTGTGACATTGCTTTATCATTATTTCCGTCTCGTGAGAACCCGGATCAATCTCTTCAACTTGTTTTGCCATTACATATATTTCCTGCCTATGTTGAAATATTTGTCTAAAATCCATGTCTTTGTTTTTTACAGTTTATCGATATGTGTATTCTGCTGGGCTGTGACTATTGTGATAGTATCAGGGGTATTGGACCTAAGCGAGCCATAGAACTGATCCGTAATCACAAGACTATTGATGAAATACTAAAGCATATAGATACGAAGAAGTACAGCCCACCAGAAGATTGGCGCTTTGCCGAAGCCAGAAAACTTTTCATTGAACCGGAAGTTGCCGATCCTGAGGATATTGACGTAAGAGTTTTATCCATGCTAATAAATTTTGCTTGTAAAGACATAAAATGCACAAATATGATTTTATATAACGCAGAAATCACAATAACGTGATATATCAAATGAACAGATCCACAGGAGCCTTGATGAGGCTTCGAACCTATGCGCTGGATGTTCCCAGATGCGCTCTAGTCGACTTGCGAACTAGTTGAATATGGAAGAGGTTAACCATGTCATGGTGCCGTTGACTGAGTACGTCTGTGAACATCCGGTGCATAGGTTCGACCCCTCATCACGGCCCTTGTGGATTTGTTCATTTTATATAATGTTAGTAGGGGAAAATTTATTTAAATTGAAATGTCTCTCCGAGGTTGTAGGTCAGACGCTTGCAGCTAACATCATCTGATTTTTCCCTTTAATTGCTGTTGGGTACGTGCTCGACATGAGTAATTACCTAAGTGTAGTTACAGGATGAGAGGAATGCTCGTCTTACAAGCACTCTTTGTCATATAACGCTTTGAAATTACTGACGGTTTTGGCCTCCACCACCTTCTTACCTTACTTGTTCCAACTGTCTACCACTCTGTTTGCGAAAGTGAATTTTCTTATATTCGACAGCTTTGTTTAGTTTAACTCTATGACCTCTTGTTCTTGAAGTTCCAGTCTCAGGAATTCTTCCCTATCAGTTTTATTAATTCCTGTTACTTTTTGTACGTAGTGATCATATTGCCTCTTTTTCTTCTATCTTCGTCTCTGAATTATTATTATTATTAAAAATTGTTTTTGTTTTTTACAGTAATTGAAACTATATGGGCTGATTATGCCAAATTAATAAAAAACTGTGCTGATTGTAATGAAATATATCTTTCTAGTAGTCCCAGTGGCTACTAGAAAGCTATCTAGCTTTCTCAGTGAGGTAACCTACATTGTCAGAGTTCTGTTTGGCCTACTGGGGACAGAGCCTGGCTATCTGGCTCACAGAGGTACAGGAAGCGAGAGACAATCCATCACCCCACCGGGAAGCCATCCAGAAAGATTGTGATGCTTTATGATCAACTATAAAGTTTACAGGAAACAAAGCATCAACACAGGCAAACAGCTCCACAGACAATTGAAATGAAATGGTTGTTTTCACACTAAACTAATTCAAACCCTGTTAATACCAATAATCATCACCAGACAGTCTGAGCCCAGCTCGCAACCAACTTCCCTAGATCAACCACTTGGGGTTGGTTAAGTAGGATGCTGGATACTCAGTTTTCTGTCAAACAGGACTCAGCGAGTAACAGTCAACCATATAAAATCTAGTCCAAGTGCAGTTAAAAGCTCTGTACCTTAGGGTACAGTCCTTGCACCGCTGCTTTTCCTTATTCTCATATCAGATATAGACAAAAATACAAGTCACAGCTTCGTATCATCCTTTGCAGATGACACAAAAATCAGTATGAAAATTATCTCAGCTGAAGACATTGAAAAACTTCAAGCTGATATTAATAAAGTTTTCGACTGGGCATCAGAAAATAACATGATGTTTAACAGTGATAAATTCCAGGTACTCAGGTATGGTAAAAATGAGGACCTTAAACATAATACAGAGTACAAAACACAATCAAATGTATCCATAGTAGGAAAACAGCATGTAAAGGATTTGGGAATAATAATGTCTGACGACCTAACGTTTAAGGAGCATAACCAAGCAAATATTGCGACAGCCAGAAAAATGATAGGATGGATTACAAGAACTTTCAAATCCAGGGATCCCATCACAATGGTTGTACTCTTCAAGTCACTTGTGTTGTCCCGTCTTGAGTACTGCTCAGTACTCACTTCCCCCTTCAGAGCAGGAGAGATTGCTGAATTAGTGGGAATACAGAGAACATATACGGCACGCATAGACGCGATAAAGCACCTAAAGTATTGGGATCGTCTCAAAGCCCTCCAAATGTACTCACTAGAAAGAAGACGAGAGAGATATCAAATATTATACACCTGGAAGATACTGGAGGGCCAAGTACCAAATCTACACAGTAAAATAACAATGTACTGGAGTGAACGATATGGAAGAAAATGCAGAATAGAACCAGTGAAGAGCAGGGGTGCCATAGGCACAATCAGAGAACACTGTATAAACATCAGAGGTCCCAGGTTGTTCAACACCCTCCCAGCAAGCATAAGAAATACAGAGCACCACTTGGTTTCCGAACTTTAGTTATCCGAAACTTCCAGTTTCCCGATTGGGGTTGGGGAGTCATGCTACCCGAACAAAGTTCGGGTAGGAAGGGGTCCGCCAAGCGTCACGCCGGCTTGTGGTGGTGGGTGGGAGATGGTCCAGTTTGCCCGCTGTGACTTCACAGATTCACGGCCTATTATTCCTATTATTTTGAATTGCCATAAGGCTGGAATGTTCATTCTGTGCTTTTGTTTTACATATCTGCACAATCAAGAAACATCTGTGCACCATGTTGGCTCCAAATGCACGCATTGCGTCAGTGGTGGGTGGATGGACGATGGAGCTTAGGTGGGAGGCAGTATGAATGAGGGGGGGGGGGGAGAATCAGTGAGAGAGGGGGGGAGGTAGGGAGAGATGTTAGGAGGTAGGGAGAGATGCTAAGAGGGAGGGGGAGGTAGGGAGAGATGCTAGGAGGTAGGCAGGAAGGGATGGAAGTAGTGAGAATTAGGGAGGGAAAGGCAGGCTGGCAGGCACAGGCAGGCAGGCTGGCAGGCACAGGCAGGCAGGCACAGGCAGGCAGACAGGCAGGCAGGCAGGCAGGCAGGCAGGCAGGCAGGCAGGCAGGCAGGCTAGCTTGCAGGCAGGGAGTGAGTGGTAGTCACGCGGTTGAACCGCGTGACCTTGAGAGATGGGATGTAGGGGGCGGGTGGTTTGTTGGTGGTGGGGGTGAGACCGGCTCATTCCCGAAGATAAGCCTAACACTACCCGTTAGCATGATGGCAGGGAGGGAGGCAGGCTGGCTGGAAAGGAAGCAGGCTGGCAGGCTGGGAAGGAGGCAGGCAGGCAGGCTGGGAAGGAGGCAGGCTGGGAAGGAGGCAGACTGGCAGGCAGGGAAGGAGGCAGGCTGGCAGGCTGGGAAGGAAGCAGGCTGGCAGGCTGGGAAGGAGGCAGGCTGGGAAGGAGGCAGGCTGGCAGGCTGGGAAGGAGGCAGGCTGGCAGGCAGGGAAGGAGGCAGGCTGGCAGGCTGGGAAGGAGGCAGGCTGGGAAGGAAGCAGGCTGGCAGGCTGGGAAGGAGGCAGGCTGGGAAGGAGGCAGGCTGGGAAGGAGGCAGGCTGGGAAGGAGGCAGGCTGGGAAGGAGGCAGGCTGGGAAGGAAGCAGGCTGGCAGGCTGGGAAGGAGGCAGGCTGGGAAGGAAGCAGGCAGGCAGGCTGGGAAGGAGGCAGGCTGGGAAGGAAGCAGGCTGGCAGGCTGGGAAGGAGGCAGGCTGGGAAGGAAGCAGGCTGGCAGGCTGGGAAGGAGGCAGGCAGGCAGGCAGGCTGGGAAGGAGGCAGGCTGGCAGGCAGGGAAGGAGGCAGGCTGGCAGGCAGGGAAGGAGGCAGGCTGGCAGGCTGGGAAGGAGGCCGGCTGGGAAGGAGGCCGGCTGGGAAGGAGGCAGGCTGGGAAGGAGGCAGGCTGGGAAGGAGGCAGGCTGGGAAGGAGGCAGGCTGGCAGGCAGGGAAGGAGGCAGGCTGGCAGGCAGGGAAGGAGGCAGGCTGGCAGGCTGGGAAGGAGGCAGGCTGGGAAGGAGGCCGGCTGGGAAGGAGGCAGGCTGGGAAGGAGGCAGGCTGGGAAGGAGGCAGGCAGGCAGGCAGGCAGGCAGGAAGCGATATATGGGTGTTGAAGTGAACCGTGAACCACGTGACCTTTGAGAGTGTGTGTGTGTGTGTGTGTGTGTATGGGTTTGGGGTGGGGGTGGGGGTGGTGTGTCGGTGGTGGGGGGAGAAGGGGAGGTGTGTCGGTGGTGGGGGGAGAGGGGGAGGTGTGTCGGTGGTGGGGGGAGAGGGGGAGGTGTGTCGGTGGTGGGGGAGGGACCGGCTGACTCCGTAAGCCTAACCACACTCCACAGACCTGTGACCCAGATTTGTTTCTTAAATGTACAGTACATCATCGTATATTTTAGGCAGGATGTTCCTGCAGGCTGGCAGGAAACATCCAGAGGATGTTTGCCAGACGTCTTAATAATCAGTTAGGAACAATTAAGGACTTTTATAAAGCGGATCAGGACTTCACTTATTGATGAGTACAAACAAAACACGGTCGCATTTACGCCATGAACCTGACGATTTTTTTCCCTAGAGTTTTTTCATAAATTTTTCTGAAAAATTTCTTTTTACATTTCTAGTTTATTTTTTCCCCTCTATTTCTCGTATACGAACTTACATGTTAACCGACGGGTCTCGTCCCCAAGGGGTTCGGAAACCAAGTGGTGCTCTGTATTGACCGAACAACCGTGGACATTTTCAAGAGGAAACTAGATTTATTCCTCCAAGGAGTGCCGGACCAACCGGGCTGTAGTGGGTATGTGGGCCTGCGGGCCGCTCCAAGCAACAGCCTAGTGGACCAAACTCTCACAAGTCTAGCCCGGCCTCGGGCCGGGCTTGAGGAGTAGAAGAACTCCCAGAACCCCATCAACCAGGTATCAACCAGGGTGGAGGGTAGAGCAACAGTTTCGCATCATACAGGTCAGCGTTCACTCCCCGACTGTCCAAGTGGTTAGGCACCATTCCTGTCTCCCATCCCATCTTAAATCCTTATCCTGATCCCTTCCAAGTGCTATATAATCGTAATGGCTTGGTACTTTCTCCTGATAGTTCCCTTCCCTAGATCAGCTGTTATCTTGAGATTCTAGAGGTTATCTTAAGATGATTTCGGGGCTTTTTTTTTTTTAGTGTCCCCGCGGCCCGGTCCTCGACCAGACCTCCACCCCCAGGAAGCAGCCCGTGACAGCTGACTAACACCCAGGTACCTATTTTACTGCTAGGTAACAGGGGCATAGGGTGAAAGAAACTGCCCAATGTTTCTCGTTGGCGCCTGGGATCGAACCCAGGACCACAGGATCACAAGTCCAGCGTGCTGTCCGCTCGGCCGACCGGCTGTGAAGCTGATGATCAACCAACCAACGAACCTGGAAGAGCAGGGGGAAGGGGATCACAGAATCACTTAAGCTCTATCAAAAAGAGCTTTTCATTGAATCATCCTTCGCAGATGATACAAAAATCAACATGAAAATTACCTCTGCTGAAGACATTGAAAAACTACAAACAGACATTGACAAAGTTTTCGATTGGGCAGCAGAAAATAACATGATGTTTAACGGTGATAAATTCCAGGTACTGTGCTCGGATACGGCAAAAATGAGGATCTGAAACATAATACAGGGTACAAAACACAATCGAATTGGCCCATAGTAGGAAAAGAGCATGTCAAGGATTTGGGAATAATGATGTCCGACGACCTAACGTTTAGGGAGCATAACCAAGCAAGCATTGCGTCAGCCAGAAAAATAATTGGATAGATTACGAAAACCTTCAAGTCCAGAGATCCCATCACAATGGTTGTACTCAATCACTTGTGTTGTCCCATCTTGAGTACTGCTCAGTACTCACTTCCCCCTTCAGAGCAGGAGAGATTGCTGAAATAGAAGGAATACAATGAACATACACGGCACGCATAGACGAGATAAAGCACCTAAATTATTGGGATCGTCTCAAAGCTCTCCAAATGTACTCACTAGAAAGGAGACGAGAGAGATACCAAATAATATACACATGGAAAATACTGGAGGAACAGGTCCCAAATCTGCACAGTAAAACAACAACGTATTGGAGTGAACGATATGGAAGAAAATGCAGAATAGAACCAGTGAAGAGCAGGGGTGCCATAGGCACAATCAGGGAACACTGTATAAACATCAGAGGTCCACGGTTGTTCAACTTCCTACCAGCGAGCATCAGAAATATTGCTGGAACAACTGTGGACATCTTCAAGAGAAAACTAGATTGTTTTCTTCAAGGAGTGCCAGACCAACCGGGCTGTGATGGGTATGTGGGCCTGCGGGCCGTTCCAAGCAACAGCCTGGTGGACCAAACTCTCACAAGTCAAGCCTGGCCTCGAGTCGGGCTTGGGGAGTAAATGAACTCTCAGAACCCCATCAAGCAGGTATCATTACATTGAACATTGGGCTTCTGGGAGAACCCCTTGGTGGCTCCTTGAAGCTAAATTACCATGGAGAAGGGAAACAAGAGACTTGCCAAGAGGATAGGCAGCAGGTACTAAGAAGAGGTCCCCCCCTTGGTTAGACAGCTGCTACGGGCTGCTTCCTGGGGATGTGTAACAAAAATGAGGCCTGGTCGAGGACGGGGCCGCGAGGACACTAAGCCCCGAAATCATCTCAAAATAACCACATGAAGAAGATATTTTGTATTATTTGGAATTTAATTGACTAAAATTGTGCATTAATGATTTCTGCTGGCCTCAATTGCATATTTCATGTAAGTTAAATATTTCAATTATTTTCAATATAATGATCGAGTCAGTCATAGTTCCTTTCTTTCAATAGGACCTGGAGAGTCAGTTTATCTTGAGGTAGGAACTGGGACCATGGTTCTTGCAATAGGACCAGGAGAGTCAGTCTATCTTGAGGTAAGAACTGGGACCATGGCTCTTTCAATAGGACCAGGAGAGTCAGTCTATCTTGAGGTAAGAACTGGGACCATGGCTCTTTCAATAGGACCAGGAGAGTCAGTTTATCTTGAGGGAAGAACTGGGACCATGACTCTTTTTGAGGAACCATTTGTTATTTTAATAACCAAAATAACCTTTGATATTTTGTTATGAAGCTTACAACTTAAACATGATATTTTCCATACACAGAGAAATCACATTCTCGTGATACATCGATGAGAAGATCCACAGGATCCGTGATAAGGATTCGAACCTATGTGTTGAGTATTCCCAAATGATTTCCTATGATATTCATTTTCTTATGATATTTTCCTCTAGCTCAAGTGGAATGAACCAGACGAAGAGGGCTTGGTTAAGTATATGTGCGAGGAGAAGGGCTTTAACGAAGAACGCATTCGTAGTGGGGTGAAGAAACTTTTAAAGGCCCGAAGTGGCAGCACTCAGGGCCGCTTGGATTCTTTCTTTAAGGTGTTGCCGCAGCCGCCGAATGCCAGTAATAAACGCAAGGTAAGCCTTATCTCTGTGCTGGTGCCAGAAAGTATTTTTAAATCAACTATATTACATTAATTGTATTTTAATCACCATCATAGACTAAAACAAAGGACAGTGCATCCTTCTTATTTAGAGAAATATTTGTGTGAACCATCTTAGTTTGTGATGTGAACTATTACTAACTTGTATATAAGTAAGATTAGAGTGTGCTTTTTGGTGAAAGGGTATAGCAGTGTAACCTATCTATTTTATCACTTTTTAATGCTATCTATTAATCTGTTAAAAAATAACCATTTGTAGAAATTCAAGAACCTTACTACTGGTATTTACGTTTTCTATGCACTGGCCTTGATAGGTTAGGTGGGGTTGCTAGGGACAGTACTCACCTTGTTGTACTTGCAGGGGTTGAGCTTTGGCTCCTTGGTCCCACCTGGGGATCAAGTATTTTTCTTGTGTGTACAGAAGTATGTTTTCTGGTTATGTGAAGCAATTGCATTTTGAACAGTGGCAAAATGAGATAACGAGCTTACTGTTCTAAGTAATAAAAATCCTGCACAAGGAATAGAAAAGCTGACTTCTGAAACATATGAAGTTTGTCTTAACATATGTTTTGTTGAGGAAAGCCAGAAAGAGGTCCATTGTAGAAAAAGAACGCAGACGACACTACAAAAGAAGAAAAAATAACGAAACTGCTTAAGCAGACACGACTTTCCATACAAAGAAGGAATAATTTAAACAGGGAGATTGTAGAAATCGAACAGAGACTGAAGTATTCATATCAGATTAAAGAAAGGCAACTAGAACAGAAAGCAATTCACGAAATATAGAAAAAACTAAAATATTTCTTGACATGTGCGAAATCAAAAGCAAAAACCACTGCCAATATAGGACCTATTTGTACTAGTGAAGGTTCATACACTGAGGATGACAAAGAAATTAGTGAAATCCTAAAAAAGCAGTATGAGGACATGTTTAGCACTCCAATAAACAGCATGAAAGTGGAAGATATGGATAACTTCTTTATGCACGATATCCAAACCCCTGTAAATATAACTGATATCAACACGAACGTGGCAGATTTTGAAAGAGAAATTGACAACATGCTCATACACTCAGCCCCGGGTCCAGAATCGTGGAATTCAATATTTATATAGAAATGCAAAGGGCCAGTCACAGGCATTAGTGTGGAGGAAGAGTTTGGACACAGGATACCAGTTGCGCTTAAATCAGCAGACTCAACACAACACAACACAACACGACCCCTCAACACAAGGAAGGGAGCAAAGCATTGGCAAAGAATTATAGACCAGTTGCACTAATGTCCCACATAATAAAAGTTTTTGAGAGAGTGATCAGGAGTCAGGTCACTAGTCTCATGGAAAGTAATGACCTCCATAATCCAGGCCAACAGTGATTTAGAACAGGAAGAACAGCCTCTCATACTGTGACTCGCAGAATGCACTCCTGGCATTGAACGCACATAGTAGTAACACCCAGAAAATAGTTAGTGATATACGAATGAATGTTTTAGCTGCTAAAGAAAACAAGTTTTGAAATTAAATTTCTTTGGATACCATCACATGTTAGCATCTCAAGTCATGACACTGTTGATATGCTTGCAAAAACAGCCCGTAGAAAACCAGTAGTTGAATTTGATATGGGTGTGTCATTAGCAGTGATTAGGAAGAGAATGAACAAATATCTAATGAAAATCTCACTGGCCTAACAAATTCACAAAGGCCTCAAAGTTGTAGCATTAAACATTATGATAAATATCATAAGGAGACATATATATATGGAACTAATTGAGCAAGAACTCGGCAATGTGATATTATAGTGCCCAGAATACGCCTGGGATATAGACGTATCTAGCAGCTTTCTCGAAACCCAAATGTAGAATACACCATGTTTCAACTTTGTGAAAAAGAAAACATGCTTTTCCATGAACATTATATTGTAGAATGTTCCATATTGACTGACTTTGGCCCTCCTGGGCTGAGGTATGCTGAACTCTGTAAATAATCTATGAATACTGGAACACTTGATGATATATTGGACGTGTACCCGAGATTGACTATGTAATAAATCTCTTATACAATGTATGTACCTATAACCTGAGCTTGTAAAAGCATTTTAATCACCTTCAGCGGTTAAGTGTTTAATATCACACTAGTTTCTATAGAAGCTATCTTATCTTATCTTAAATTGCTGACCTGGAGAGCGTGCTGAGATCCTTTACTGCTAGAATCCACTCAGTAAAACATCTAAATTACTGGGACCGACTAAAGAGCCTAAATCTGTACTCCCTTGAGCGCAGGCGGGAGAGATACATAATAATTTATACGTGGAAAATAATTGAGGGGCTGGTCCCAAACCTGCACACAGAAATAACATCACATGAGACCAGAAGACATGGCAGGATGTGCAGAATACCCCCGTTGAAAAGCAGAGGTGCAACAGGTACTCTGAGAGAGAACTCTATCAACATCAGAGGCCCGAGACTGTTCAACACGCTTCCACTACACATAAGGGGCATAACTGGCCGACATATATATATATATATATATATATATATATATATATATATATATATATATATATATATATATATATATATATATATATATATATATATATATATATATACAGTGGTACCTCGCATAACGATCGCCCCAAAAGACGAACATTTTGGGTAACGAACGGCCCGATCGGCATCAAATCGTCCCGTATGACGAACGCTGGTTTGAGTAACGTCAACACCACATGGTGGGGTCGCGCTGCTTCTTGCACATTCTTAGACGCCTCCGACGATGCACATAAATTATGTTGTTCTTGTTTAAAGATGCTAATGATGCTGGGATATAAAAGGGTGACTGCTGAGATGTTGCAAAGCATTGACGTTTTTGTAGGAAAAAAGAAATGAAATGTCTGATATACAACAAATGTCAAAAAGGTTCGTTCGGTGTTCGGCAGGTAGGCTGCTCCATTATAACAATCTTTCTTTGTTTCAAATGTGTTCCATTTGTTTTGTAATTTTCATTTACGTCTCAATAATGGAGAAGCCTATCTTACATACACTGAATAAACCATTATGACATTTTCCTTTCTTCAAATGTGTTCAATATTTATTTTTCATTTGTCTTATAGCAAAAGGTTCGTTCGGTGGTCGGCAGGTAGGCTGCTCCATGTTTCTTACATACAAAAAACGTAAATAATAAAAAAAATGAAGAATTTTGAAAACCAGTACAAATGTCAAAAAGGTTCATTCGGTGGTCTACAGGTCGGCTACTTCATGTTTCTTAAATAAAAAAAAAAACGAAAAATAAAAGAACTGTTGAAACAATTTGAAAAATGGACAAATACCATAAAGGTTCGTTCAGTGTTTGTCGGGTAGGCTGCTCCATTATTGAGACGTAAGTGACAAATACAAAACAAATGGAACACATTTGAAACAAAGAAAGATTGTCATAATGGAGCAGCCTACCCGACAAACACTGAACGAACCTTTTGTTATAACGAATATGAAAGACAAGGGCTGCTGGCTGGGTTAGTACTGCGTGAGCAACCATTTGTAGCACACGTGCCTCTGGCTCTCAAACACCTGTCCCACACGGTGTTGAAAGACTGCGCTCAGTCGGTGCAATTCAGACCCTATTGTTTGAAGAACAAGGGGTCATAACATTGGTGAAGCTAGGCGCAATAAGGGCTTAACACAACGGTCAGATGCCAGTGATACAGCACCTATGAGGATGATACAGCGAGCTCTCCAGTTGTAGCTCTGAGCCCCACCCTTGCCATCTCCAATTTATATAAATGATACAAAGATGAATTGTTTTCTACGTTCAGTGATGATGCATCTGATACAAGTAGCATAGATGAACAGTGTTAGCTGCTTCCATGGTGGTGTTGTCCATAGATATTTTCAAGAATACCTGAATCTCTTCCTGAGTGATGGACATTCTTTGAGGCTAGCTGAATCTCTTCCTGAGTGATGGACATTCTTTGAGGCTAGCTGAATCTCTTCCTGTGTGGGACCTTACAAAGCGATCTTTTCAAGACTACTTTACAAATTGACCTTTTCCTATAATCGTTTCAATACTACCTTATGCTTTACAAGCTTGGCTACATACCACCTACAAGTACTAAAGCCAAGGGTGCACACGAGTGCGTTATTTGCAAGCACACAGAACGATGAAACAGGAAACGAAAATCTATCTGTAGCTGGTGCAAGGAGAGCAAAGTCGCGCTGTGTACCATGGACTACTTCGTTGACTATTACGCACCTCCAAAGTACTGAGTGTGTAATACAGTGTGTTACTGTGTAAATAGTATGTGAAACTATTCACTAAAAACACTAAAATTACATATTGTAATTTTAGTGAATTTTTACCACATAATATTGTGACAATGAACATTTATTGTGGACACATTACTGACACATGTATCACAGTTCCATGGAAAATTATGAACATTCTACTGTATACATATTGTAAAGGTCACAAATATGCATCATATACGATAAAAGAAACAAATAAAACCGCATTGGAAATACATAGAAAAATATTTGAAAATATGTTTGTGGCAACACGCGGTGCTTGAATGGCCTGCGCGACCGTGTCTGGGAGCTTCACACACGGGCGACCAGGCCCTGATGACGTCACAGCGCACCTTGTCCACGCCTTCACACCCAAAGTAAGTGGAATTTGGTAATTACTTTTACATAGACATGTTCAGGGACGGTAATTTATCATTTTGCAAAGAAAAATGATATTTTGGGGAACATTTGATGTCATGCACACTGGGGAATTTCACAATAAACACAGTGCATCACACTGGTTACATGGGGCACACTCGTTTTGTGTGACGTCCGTTTCACATGACGAACATGGAACGGATTAAATTCGTTATGCGAGGTACCACTGTATATATATATATATATATATATATATTTTTTCGTCTACCTAACCTACCTAACCTAACCTAACCTAGCTTTTTTTGGCTACCTAACCTAACCTTACCTATAAATATAGGTTAGGTTAGGTTATGTAGGGTTGGTTAGGTTCGGTCATATATCTACGTTAATTTTAACTCCAATAAAAAAAATTGACGTCATACATAGAGATAAGGGTTGCTTTATCATTTCATAAGAAAAAAATTATAGTAAATATATTAATTCAGGAAAACTTGGCTTATTAGGCAAATCGGGCCTTGAATAGTAGGCTGAGAAGTGAGTTCTGGCTATTAGGTACGATATATATATATATATATATATATATATATATATATATATATATATATATATATATATATATATATATATATACACACACACATACATACATACATACATACATACATACATACATACATACATACATACATACATACATACATACATACACACATATGTGTATTGAATTGCATTTCTCCTTTGTAAACACACATTAATGACACAATGTAAAAAGAAACCTTGAACACTGTTTATGTAGGACAGACGTAAATCTGTGTATTTATGTATTTAGCTTAGCATTTTAAAAGCACTATAATCATCTTCTGTGATTGAGTGTTCAATAAATCACTGAATTATATGTTTAACAGATCTCTAACCCTGTCCATGGAGGACAGAAGAAAATGTATATGATACTCAGTTTTCTGTTGAATAGAACACAAATAGTAACAGTCAACCATATAAAATTGAGTCGAAGTGCAGTTAAAAGCTCTGTACATCAGGGTACAGTCCTTGCACCACTGCTTTTCCTTATTCTCATATCAGATATAGACTCATATACAAGGCACAACTTTGTATCATCCTTTGCAGATGACACAAAAATTAGCACTAAAATTACCTCTGCTGAAGACATTGAAAAACTACTAACAGATAAAGTTTTCGACTAGGCAGCAGAAAATAACATGATGTTTAACAGTGATAAATTCCAGGTACTCAGGTACGGTAAAAATGAGAACCTTAAACATAATACAAGGCACAAAACACAATCAAACCTGCCCTTAGTAGGAAAACAGCATGTCAAGGATTTGGGAATAATGATGTCTGACGACCTAACGTTTAGGGAGCATAACCAAGTAAATATTGAGTCAGCCAGAAAAATGATAGGATAGATTACGAGAACTTTCAAATCCAGGGATCCCATCACAATGGTTGTACAATTCAAATCATTTGTGCAGCCCATCCTGAGTACTGCTCAGTACGAGGGATTACTGAAATAGAGTACAAAGAACATATACAGCATACATAGACATGATAAAGCACCTAAATTATTGGGATGGTCTCAAAGCTCTCCAAATGTATTCGCTAGAAAGGAGACGAGAGAGATATCAAATAACATACACGTGGAAAATACTGGAGGGCCAAGTACCAAATCTACACAGTAAAGTAACAACTTACTGAGTGAACAATATGGAAGAAAATGCAGAATACAACGAGTGAAGAGCAGGGGTGCCATCACAATCACAATTTAAGCACAATCAAAGAACACTGTATAAACATCAGGGGTCCATAGTTGTTCAACATTCTCCCAGTGAGTATAAGAAATATTGCCGGAACAACTGTGGACCTCTTCAAGAGAAAATTGGATAGTTTTCTTTAACCCTTGTGTTGCTAAGGGCTATTTGGCCATTGTCACCCACAGGTGCATAACAACAACAAAAAAATTCTTCTAAACCTGTTAATTTGTGTTCCCTTATCACAGAAAGAATAATAAAAAAATCGTAAGTGGCATATTTTGCCCACTACAGGGCGGGGAAGTCTGTCAAAAAGAGGCTCCGACTCAGCACGTGTCGTCGGGAGGCGGTCTGTTCAGCCCCAGCTGTCAGGCAGGAGTGGCCACAAAGAGATAATTACCTAATTATTTCAATGTCTCTGATTGATTGTTTTTCGTTTTTTTGCTGTATATTATTCAATAGTGTGTAGTGTGATATATAATAAAATGTGTGAATCATCGTTGTACTCAAAATTATGGTATGCATATTATTGATTCAATTATTGTGTTCATAAAACAATAAACAAATACTTTGTTGGTTATTACACTATATACACAGGTTATATATACGTATCTGCATGTTTTGTTCACCATAACGAACCACTAAATTGATATTGCAAGTCAAAAAACAGCGAGGTGTGGCCACCACATCTGCCAGTCAGCCTCTCACTGCCATCTACCTGGAGGTTACCTTGAGGTGCTTCCGGGGCTTAGCGTCCCCGCGGCCCGGTCGTCGACCAGGCCTCCTGGTTGCTGGACTGATCAACCAGGCTGTTGGACGCGGCTGCTCGCAGCCTGACGTATGAGTCACAGCCTGGGTGATCAGGTATCCTTTGGAGGTGCTTATCCAGTTCTCTCTTGAACACTGTGAGGGGTTTGCCAGTTATGTCCCTTTTGTGTAACGGAAGCGTGTTGAACAGTCTCGTGCCTCTGATGATGATAGAGTTCTCTCTCAGAGTACTCTCACTCTCTCTCTCTCTCTCTCTCTCTCTCTCTCTCTCTCTCAGAGTGGCTCTCTCAAAGCCACTCCCTCAATGACTCCTCACTCGCCCACATCCTCCTCCCACCATACTGTTCTTGCTTTTATTCACTACATACAGACATTATATATAAGTATCTATATGTTCTGTTCACCATAATTGTTCATCTAAGATGGTATAGTGCCCAAAGAACATAGTGGCCACCCCTACCCAGCATGATAAATAATGCAGATGTTGCCACCTCCCTCACAAAAATGGCTTCTCCCCCACACTTCTTTTGCTGTTATCACACCATATATACACATTATATATAAGTATCTACATTTGTGATCACCATAACGAACCACTAAGTATTTATGCTGAGTGGCAGTGGCAGCCAGTGGCAGTCTGCCACTGGCTGTCACTCCCTCCCTTCCTCCCTCACCTCACCTGACTCGCCATCCTTCTCCTCCCACCATACTGTTTTTGCTTTTATTCACTATATTCAGACGTTATATATAAGTATCTGCATGTTTTGTTCACCATAGCGAACAACTAAGCTGGTATAGTGAGTCCAGACAGTAAAAGGTGGTCACACACAGTCAGCAGACAATACTACCTCCCTCCCCACCAAGATTAATCCTCCCACTACAGTGCTAATTATCACAACAATCCTGCTATTATCAGAATCCTGGTTATTTTTATCACAATCAGTGGTCTTCTGTAATAATATCAAAGCTAAATAATAGCATGAACATGTATATTATGGCATTTTTAGGCGATGCTGTGGTCACAAGCTGAACAGCAGTGCTGTGAGCTCATGCTGCTTGCGTCAGGCTTGGTGGCTCACTCAATATTGAGGCCCTCACACTTCGGAATTTGGCCCACGATTTAAAAAAAAAATGGCGTCTATTTACAAGAGCCCTGATGAAGGTGAGGTGAACCCTGTGTATTGTGGGCCGTTTAAATCTTGCGTATTACTTCAACACATCATATGACGTGATGCGCAATTTATAGCAAGTTACTCAACACATCATGTGATGTGTTGTGCAGTTTAAGGTTAAGGAGTGCAGGACATACCACCTGTGGTGGATATGTGGACCTGCGGGCCACACCAAGCAACAGCCTGGTGGACCAAGCTCTCACAAGTCAAGCCTGGCCTCGGGCAGGGCTTGGGGAGTAGAAGAACTCCCAAAACCCCATCAAGCTGGGCAGCCAACCCCACATCCTTTGAGCAAAAAAGGGTAGGGAGACTTGACTGGAGATTAATCTTTTTCTATTCCTCCCTACAAGAGCATAATTAGTCTAGTATCTGGGGCTCTCGGCTGACCATTGTTTTTGTATCCAAGACCCACACCAATCCATTTGTCTTGGTAAGGTAAGGTGTTCTAACCAAATTTGATATTGTGTTATCATAAATCAGCAGACATTTTCTTAAATTAATGGTGTAAATAAAGTGATAGTACGCGAAGAACAAAATCACTGGCTAGCAAAGCCGGCTTGTGACCGAGTGTTCAGTTCAACCATCCGTAGATGTAGGGCAGAAGTTAGACTTAACATACATGAACTAGCAGGAAAACCCACTCTAATGTTTCTAGAATGCCTCTGAAACACCACATGAGCCTCTCTGCATATTTTTTTCGTCTACTCTAATTCTTTATTACTTTCATGAACCTTTTTATGGCCTATGTTTAAAGTTTTTGTTATTTATTTTTCTTCATGATTATCAGAAATATATCTTTCAATATGAATTGATAATGATATTTCTGGGAGGACTCTCCCTCTGTGGCTTTAAGGAACAAATGAGCTACCAAGAGGGACCCACCAGAAAGAGGATTTTCATTACATTAATGCTGGCTTTTTCAGTCAAATGAGAAACCAGGATCTGCAAAGAAGTCGAAATCACGTGGTGGCAGTTTCAAGAGGGGCCGATAAGCTCTTGGACGTTACCTTGCTGAAGAGAGAAGAGCAGTTATGTGTCGATGAAAGAGGTTATAAAGTATAATACTGGTTTGGTGGTACTTTTAAGTTAAGTACAACTCTGCAATTGAAATTTTCATTAACTGTTAATCATTAACCGTTCGATTATAGCACTTACACAAGTTGACATTAATAGGCCTATCTTGTTGGTAGGCTTGATATACAGCTTGTGGGCCCTTCTTCATTAACAGCGAACATTAGTAAATAAACATAAATATTGTATTTGTTTTTTCTTATCTTCAGTAAGTTATTTTATCTATGGGCTCCCTAATCTTGAGGTTAGATGCAGAATCTCTCGGATATTTAAAACTTGTAATTGTTCACAAGTCTGTTTTTTTCCCATTGGACAGGACAGTAAGCCTGTTAGGCTTATTGAGGCAGCCAGAACCTTCTCCAGGATGCAACCCACAACAGGTGTCTAACTCCAGGGGTTAGTACCTGAGTTAGTACCTAATAACTACCTACTTATTGACTTATAAATGACTTATTAACAGGTTTATGGAAATGAGCCAAACATCAGAATGCACTTACTGCCAGAATTGGATTAAGATTCCATTCACCTGGACTCTAGGAGACTAGGAGAAATAGAGCCCAAGCAAATGGAATGGTTATTTCCATGGAAGTGTGGCTGACAATTTATTTGATTAAGGCGTTCAAGATTTGACAGCATATTCCCTAATAACACAAGCTAGTACCTGCTATTTTTCTTTCATCTATAGCCAGAATATGCATAAATAAAAATGTAAAAAAACTAATCAAGTAAGATGAGTAGATATTATTAGGATGAAGTAGTAAATAAATGGAAAAATGTACTCTGTCCTCATTATCACTTAGAATATCCTGTAGAAAAGGGGGGAAAGAAGTTCTTGACCATTTGGCCAGCTTACAAGGAAACTTATCCAAAATGCACACACAAAGGATTTAAATGACAGTGAGATATGGATACTAGAATTCTGTCTTTTCAGATGTGATAGAAAATATAGTCTACAGGCTAGGGTAAGCTGTAGGCCTCGACCAGGAGACCTGGTTGAAGACTGGGCCACAGGGATGCTGGTCGAAGATTGGGCCGCGGGGATGCTAAGCCCCGAAATCGTTTAAAGGTAAGGTAACCTCAAGGTATCTCAAGGTAAGCCTGTGCATTAAGGACACACTCATCTGCACAGAGCTGCTAAACATTGCAAATGATATGTGTAAGGTTCGATAATCAAAATAGAAATTCTAAATGTGGGGATTGTCCTGGTATATAAATCACCAGATGCAAATCCTCAGCAGTTTAAAGACCAACATACAAAAATACAATACTGCTTAGTAAGCCTCACAAACTCTGCCTCAAACATCATCGTTCTTGATGACTTCAACTTACGGCACCTAGGTGGAAAGATGTGGCAAACACAGCTAAACCGTGAGAGAATTCCAGGAAGTAGACTTGGTGAACAGTCGCAAATAAATGACCTCTTGTAGATGTGTAACATTTTCCTTAACCCTCGTGTTGCTCAGGGCTAATTTAATTATCATTTGTCACCCACAGGCGCATACCAAAAAAAAAAATTATTTTTTCTTCTAAACCTGTTAATTTGTGTTCTCTGATCATGGGAAAAATAATAAAAAAATCGTAAGTGGCATATAGTGCTCGCTATAGGGTGGGGAAGTCTGGCAAAAAACAGGCGCTGACTCAGCGTGCGTCCCAGACGGTCTGTTGCTCGCCAGCTGTCAGGCAGGAGTGGCCACAAAGAGATAATTACCTAATTATTTCAATGTCTCTGAATGATTTTTTGTAGTTTTTTTGCTGTAATATTATTCAATAGTGTGTAGTGTGATATATTTATATAATAAAATGTGTGATTCATCGCTATACACAAAATTATGGTGTGCATATTGTTGATTCAATTATTATGTTCATTAAGCAGTGAACAGATACTTAGTCGGTTATTACACTATATACACACAGGTTATATATAAGTATCTGCATGTTTTGTTCACCATAACCAACCGCTAAGTTGGTATTATGAGTCAAAAAGCAATGAGGAGTGACCGCCACACTCCAGCCAGCCACTCGCTGCCACTCACTCCCTCAACACCTCACTCGCCCACATTCTCCTCCCACCATACTGTTTTTGCTTTTATTCACTATATACAGACATTATATATAAGTATCTACATTCGTGTTCACCATAACGAACCACTAAGTTGGCATGCTGAGTGGCAGTGGCAGCAAGTGGCAGTCCGCCACTGGCTGCTACTTCCTCCCTCCCTCAACTCACCTAACTCACCTAACTCACCCACATTCTCCTCCCCACAATACTGTCTTTGCTTTTATTCATTATATACAGACGTTATATATAAGTATCTACATGTTTTGTTCACCACAACTGTACAACTAAGTTGATATAGTTAGTTCAGGCACTAAGAGACGTCGCTACACACAGTCAGGTGGCGGCTGCTTCCCTCACACATTCAAGGTCAGATGCACTAAAATTTCACCCCCCAACAATACTGTTTGTGGTGTTATTACCCTATATACAGACGTTATATATAAGTATCTACATGTTCACCATAACTGTTCAACTAAGCCGGTATAATGCCCAAAGAGCATAGTGGCCACCCCTACAAACATGACAAATCATGCAGATGTTGCCACACCCATCACCAAAATAGCTTCTCCCCCATACTCCTTTTGCTGTTATTACACTGTATATACACGTTATATATAAGTATCTACATTCGTGTTCACCATAACGAACCACTAAGTTGGTATGCTGAGTGGCAGTTTTTTTGTTTTTATTATTATTATTATTATTATTATTATTATTATTATTATTATTATTATTATTATTTTTATTATTATTATTATTATTATTATTATTATTATTATTATTATTATTATTATTATTATTATTATTTTCTACCACAGACGTGGCCACACATTTACAATGCTAACCAGCATATATACATTTTCTTCTGTCCTCCATGGACAGGGTTAGAGAAGTGTTAAACATATAGTTCAAGGGTTTATTGAACACTCAACCACAGAAGGTGATTCGGTGCTTTTAAAATGCTAAGCTAACCTACATACGTAAATACATAGATACACAGATTTACGTATGCCCTACATAAAGTGTTAGATGTGTCTTTTACATAGTGTCATTAATGTACATTCACAAAGGTGAAATGTAATTCTGATCAGCTTCCATATATACTTTATACCCATACATATACATACACACACACATATACATACATATATACACACACACATGCATTCACATACATTTGTCTCATTTACTCTGACAGGGTGAGGTACCTGATAAAGAAACTAGTGTGCAATTAAGCACTTAATCACTGAAGGTGATGAAGGTGCTTTTACAAGCTCAGGTTATATAGTTACATCATATACAGTATATACATTGTATGATTGATATATTACATGGTCAATCTTGGATACAAGTCCAATATATCATCAAGTGTTCCAGTACTCATATAGTAACTACAGAGTTCAGCATACCTTAGCTTAGGAGGGCGAAAGTCAGTCAGTATGGGACATTCTACAATATAATGTTCAAGAGAGTGCATGTTTTCTCTTTCACAAAGTTGACACATTGTGTACTCGACATTTGGGTTTTGAGAAAGCTGCCAAATACGTCTATATCCCAGGCGTATTCTGGGCATTAAAATCTCCCATGTATATTGTCCCATGATTGTCTAGATCTGAGAACAATGTTACATTGAGTTTCTGGCTTCTGGCATATACGTTGAGGAATGAAAAGTGGCCTGCTGTAGTTTGTACATGAAAGTGATGGTACTGTGTGTGTACATTGTGTGACGTGCTCACAAGAATGTGCGGTAAATCACTTCTGACGTATGTAATAGGCCTGTGGCGTTACTGTTATTATAGGATGCATGGCAGCCAGTAGCAGCCCGCCACAGGCTGCCACTCCCTCCCTCCCTCACCTCACCTGATTCGCCACCATTCTCCTACCACCATACTGTTTTTGCTTTTATATACAGATGTTATATATAAGTATCTACATGTTTTGTTTACCATAGCGAACAACTAAGCTGGTATAGTGAGTCCAGACAGTAAAAGGTGGTCACACACAGTCAGCAGACAATACTACCTCCCTCCCCACCAAGATTAATCCTCCCACTACAGTGCTAATTATCACAACAATCCTGCTATTATCAGAATCCTGGTCATTTTTATCACAGTCAGGGGTCTTCTGTAATAATATCATTGCTAAATAATAGCATGAACATGTATATTATGGCATTTTTAGGCAATGCTGTGGTCGCAAGCTGAACAGCAGTGCTGTGAGCTCATGCTGCGTGCGTCAGGCTAGGTAGCTCACTCAATAGTGAGGCCCCTTACACCCAGGAATTTGGCCCACGATTTTTCTTAAAAATGGCATCTATTTACAAGAGCCCTGATGGTGTGGTGAACCCTGTGTATCCGCGAGCCATGTAAATCTTGCATAGTACTCCAATACATCATATGATGTGTTGCGCAACTTAAGGGTTAAACCAGCAAATATCAGAACCAACTAGAAAAGAAAGCACCCTAGTTCTTATTTTTGCAATGATGAACTGATTAGGGACCTAATCAGAAGTTCACCCTAAATGAAGTTCAGACATGCATGGGGGCAATAGACATGTACCTGCTTGACGGGGTTCTGGGAGTTGTTCTACTTCCCAAGCCTGCCCTGAAGCCAGGCTTGACTTGTGGCCCCCCTCCTCCCTATCTGGCTCGTTGTCATCGTCAGGGGGGTTTGGTGGGCGGCTGCTGGAGTGTGATGCTCCATGGGTCAGTCCTCTGTCCTTTTCAGGCCTTATGCTCCTGCTGCTGTCTACCAATTTTGCCAGATGTCTTTTCCTTTTCCTTGTGTTTCATTTCCCCCCCTACCCTCTTCTCCTTTCTAATTGTCATTTCCCGTCGACCTTTTGCCAGTCTTGATTATTCTTTTGGACTTCTTCTGTTTTGATTCCCAGGTGTTTAGGGAGGCATACTCTCTCACCCGTGGAACTGTGGTACCCAACGTCGCGAGCGAGGGGACGGTTTTATTGTCAATCCTCCTTTCGTCACTGATCCCGATCTCAACGGACTGACGGTTCTTAAGGTGGCAATTGTGGGGCATATACTCACGACGCCCCCTTGGGGGGGCCCCCGGCAAGATCGGCAACATGTCTCTTGTTGGGTGTCCTATCCTCTAATTGTGGCTCCGTGAT